TTAAGTGAATGTTTCAGTCACAGATGTATACCCCCATGCTGAATAAAAGCCCTTTGTTGTTTAACTCAGCTAATGAAGAACACAAGGAGGCACTGGTTTAACCAAGAGGACAGCAGACTACTGGAATCAGTATCTGTCTGCAAGAGAATTAGATAATCAAAGAAACTGAACAACGTAAATTAAATTAATTATTGGGATAATTACTTTGACATTATATTTTCAGTGCAGACACGTTCTCCCAAAGAAACTGTATAGAATTTCTTTGCAAGTGATAAACTGCTAACTCATGTTCTGTTCACCTCTCCAAAAGCATGCAGTTGGGAACATTTTGAAAACATAACACATATGTATGCACTATTTCTTTTAATATCACTTTATCTGCTCCTGCTAGATTCTACAAGTACAAACACCCATTCAAATGACACAACTACAAACAATGCGACTACAAACACGCAATGTATTTGTGATGATTTTTCCTAGATGTGCAACTGATTTAATATCTGATAACTCATATGAGATTCATTTAGATCCAAGCTTACACCTTTTTCAAGTGTATCAGCAGGATATTTTCATTGAAAGCTGTATATTTATTTTTTTTTTGCAGCTGGCATTGGAAATTTCCTGTGAATATAAACAAACTATACATATCCAGTATTCAGAAATAATTGTATTAACAATTTTGTATGTGAATGTTGCTTTGCATGTAGAGGAACAAAAGAGAGTAAGTTGGTACCTCTTTATACGGAGATAAGCCATGTAAAAAGTGGAACAGAAACAATTAACAGAACGATAAATGTTGAGGCTAAAATTTCACAGCACATCGTTAGACATCAAAGAATCTGTAAATAAATAAATACTTCAGATCTAGTGCACTTTCAAGTCACATTACTTCCTTGAATTACCAAGTTACGTGCAAATCAAGTGTTGGAAAAAAAATCTGTGAAAAAAAAGTACACTCGTTGGAATATGGTACACATGGCATTCCCTCTCTTCATTTTAAGTGGCTGAAAATACTGTATTTTCAGCTACAGTTGTTACATTTGCCTTGTTCTTTCAACCACAGTTCCTCATTCTCACCTCCACCACATCTTTTCTATGCCCTCAGTTAAAACAAATGACTGGTCCATGATTCCTGTGCCTGGACTCATGATGAAACAGCAGAGGCCTCTGACAGGAGAAGAATTAATAGGTATATGCAGGGGCAGAGGGCCAGTTACAAGCTCTTAAACGCAATAAATTAAACTCTGAGTAAAATCATTACCATTTAAAATCCTAGCTTATACACAGGGACTGAAAATGTGACTCAAAGAAAAGTATTTTAATGATTTCACTGGGTCCATGATTTTTCCCAGTATTCTCACCTTTGTTCACAAGTGACATGGGAACACCTTTCAAGCACCTGAAGATGTCTGAAAGTATTAGTGCTTTGTTCTACCTAGCAACTCTTTTACCTCTGGGTTTACTTTGTGGAATATGCTTATTAGAGTGTACCGTGTATGTATTTATATAGGAACATGTAAGATGAGTTTTTTAAAACTGCAAATAGACTACTTCCCCATTTTTCAAGCATAGCAAAACACTGTCTGTCTAATCAAGGCAAATACTTGCCAATCAAGCAAAGGGTTTTTTTTTCTGCAGGTTGATGGAATAACATCTAATCTTACCTCTCCATTCTCCAGGGGGTGGATTTTGGAATAATAAGAAGTGCATATGACTTCATCATCTTTTATATAGGATGGAGTTCCAGGACGGGGATGGATGTTGTAGCGTGTCAGGCACTCACTGTCTGTGATAGCATAATACTGCCACGGTTGATAGTCTACACCATCCAGCGAACGTTCTAATATCCAGTTCCCAGGTCGAGGCGAGTTAGCTGCTTTCACAATAACATACGCAATCTGGAAAATCTGAAAAACAGATGAATTGTTAAAACATAAGTGAATATATAATTATAAACTCGTTCCAGTTTCTTAATAGCTACCAAACTAAGAACAGTTAATATGGTAGTTTGATTTTTTCCCCTAAAAATGTGTATGGCCTCAGATTCCACTGAAACTCCAGAAATAAATTCTCCATTAACATTTCTGAAAGAAGATTAGTTGCATTAGGCCAATAGACACTTTGAAAATAGAATTAAAAATCACTCTAAATTCCACATAACTTAGTAGGTACTTTCTAAGCTGCAGTGTCAGCCAAATGTTTGCAAGTTTGTTTGCAAGTATTTTTAGTTTGTAGAAGTGGGTTTGTTTGTGTATGTGTACTTATAGACATACACTTTCTGCGATGTTTAAGAGTTGCCAAACTCTGTTACAACTTTATCACTGTTTAGAAAAAATGAAAGTTTAAGCTAGTGAAAGGTAATCACATCATGCTGAAATCATTCTAAAAAGCATTCTTGTTTCAATCACATGACTCAGCACTGTGGCCATAAATAAGTTTTATAGGACAGAGACACATCAAATATCACTATAAAAAGAATGTAAGCCTGTAATCAATGCTCATTATGGTCCATTTCACCTGCCTATTCAATTGATTTATCAAGGTTTATTTCTGTTTATAGGTTTGCTTGAATGCAAGCCACAAACAATATATTTGCAATTGCAGAATGACATACGTTAGTGACGCAGTTTTGGCTTCGTTTGTTTTTTTTAACCTAGTAACATCTAGACGCTGCAGAGATAGAAGCTAAGGAAAGGAAACAGCAATTTTCATTAGAAAAGAAGAACATACAGTAAGTTAATATTTTTAAGACGCAGAGTCTGCACATGAGGATGCCAGAGGGTATCATGGAAAGAACAGTGTTGTTTAATACTTAATGTTTTCTATATCAGATAGTCATTGTAAAGAAGCTGCTTGATTCAGACTTAGTCCACACAAGATCTGTTGTGAATACTTAAACAATCAGTAACCCTGGTGAAAGAAGATCCTACAGTAATTGATGAAAGAAACAGTAAGAAGACTCAGTTTGTTTTTTTTAATAACTACCAGTATTATCATAAAATAGAAATTATGTTAACTGGGAAAGTACTGCAAATACTACAGTACATTTGATGAGGGAGGCAAATGTCGTTTCAATAAATGAAAACGTTTATCTCCAATTATCATCCTTGCCTTCCGTGGAGATGCTGAGAACACGGTAAGATCCACAATTCCTTCAGTCAGGAATTCAAATCACTACAACCAAAGTTTTTCAGTGGGAATAACAAGCTGGTGAGGCTGTATTTATTTTGACTTGAAAAACATGCGCATAACTGTGCATTCGTGAAGGATTATCCCAAGTTATCAATATTTTTCTTTAATAGCATAAAAGAAAATCTTCAGAGACAAGGAAATCTGTGTCTCATTCCATTGTTTCAACAGGAATCATACAATCACTTGTCCACTGTTTCACAAATGCCCTTTCCACTCTTAACCTCATTTATAGTTATATTTAATTGTGGCCACAAATAACTATAACTGTAACTATACTGGATCAGTATCACCAATAATGTTTACAATAAACAGAGAAAAACACAATGTTAATATACCTCTACAAAGTGTTTCCTCCCAGGTAAGCTCTTTGAAATTAAAGAAAATAGCTGGAGTGTTTAACTATTTATTATTTCCTAAGGGAGGTAATGAGAAAAAGATCTCTTTTAAGGAACTAGTTTATCAAGAGTTGTTTTGTACGTTGTCCTCTGCATGAGTAAAGAATCCAACATATAATGTAAATTCTTTTTACACCAGCATGATCTAGTCAAACCACATAAACTCTTTCAGCTCCAGCCGTTCGGAATAGAGATTTCATTCTAGAGTACTTCTGAACACTTTTAAAAAAAAAAAATTAAATAAGTGTCTGTCTGGTTTGAGAGATACAGGACTAATTTCTCTTCTAATACTTGGGAAGACTCTACTGTCTGAATTTGTGAAAATACTGACTTTATAGCCAGCTATGGTGTGTGGGTTTCAAGGTGTCAGTGTTTTTGAGCTCGCCAGGTGCAGGGACAAGGAGGAGCGAGACCCGGGCACTTGACCCAAGCTGGCCAACAGCATTATCTCATACCATGAACATCACTTTCAATATAAATTAGAAAGTTTGCTGTGAAGTTCTCTCTCTCCCTTGATGGCTGCAGTCCTGAGAACTTCTTGCCCCGGTGCTGGGCCCCAGAGGCCTCCCAAAGCCATAGTGCTCACAGTGTTCGACATTTGCTGTCCGCTGCTGGGAGTACAAAGCTTCCCACTGTTATCGTTGGCTGAGTATGATCTTTGCATATTCTGTATTGGAATTGGAATTGTATTGGAATCAACATTGGTTCTTTAGTGCTATGAAGGTTAATTATCTAATCTTATTCTATTAAATCTGTTTATATTTCAACTCTCGGGTTTCCTTGTTTTTTCCCGATTCCCCTTCCTGGGTGGGGAGGGGTCATCAGGTGATAGAATGATTGTCTAAATGACAAAAAATTGTTATGGATTTCTCAAACTGTAACTGTGTCTTACCCCAAGTTCTCATAATAAGACTATTCCTTATGTGTTGAACAGATAACAACTAAGATTAAACACATTGCTAGGGCTTCTACCGTGGAAGATCGGTGGACACAGCTGACAATAAATTCATAATCTTAAGTGTGCATACATAGTTTCTTTTGTGGAAGTCCTAAAACTTGCAAAACTTCACAGATTTAATGCTATGCACTGCCTTTAGCCAAAAAAACATTTAGCGCCGCAAACATCTTGGACGCATTGGTTCCGTGGGGCCAAGAGGCGCAATCAATAGGAATTCTTTTCTTGTTTGCTTGCTTTGAAACACTAGGCTGTGTGGGAGAGTGAAACTTTCTACAGTTACTTTTCAAATTAGAGTCCTATTTCAATAACATTTCCTGCACATTCTGCTGAAGATTTGTTTGAAGTCTGGTTTCTTACCTTCTGGGATAGCATACTGTTTGACTGCAATTTATTATATACCGTTGGCTTTGATTAGTTTTAGCATACTTTGTAAATGAAACTGCCACAACATTTTATAAAAATAGCAGTGGAGAGGAAATGGCATATTGCAGGTCAGTGGGATGAACGTTATTTCTCTTAATCTAAACTTGACAAGGAAAATGCTTGTTAACATAAATAAAAGAGTACACGTGAAGAGTTGTTTTTAACTACCACTCAATTTCAGTTTTTGGCCTGATCCAGACTACTACTGTTGCAGTCTCCGAGAGTTCCTGTAGTGGCTTCTGCACCAGCACTGAGCTATCTGCAACCCACTGACATGTGAAATATTGTCTTTTCTTTTTCAAGTCTCTATTCACAAGTGGAACTGAACTGAAAGACTGTTTTGTATAAAACAAAATTATTTCCCGGGCAGTGAAATAGAGCTGGAACTAAAGACCAGAATTTTTAAATCTTGGTAGGCTGCTAACGCTAATTGCAGTCACAGGAAGATGAGCAAGCACATGCATCAAAAACATGGCCCGATTAATATTCCTGATCTTTCTCACTAAGGCTGGGCTGAAGGAAGTACAGGATGCTAATCTGTGCTTCTTAGAAACACCTTTTCTTTGGGGCACAGCTAGACTCATAGAGCTTTAGCAGGAATCAGGAAGACATTTGTCCCAGCTTAGAGCGCTACCCTAGTCACTACCAGCTCATCACAGCTCTGTGACACAGACAACAAACTCACTGTATTCCATACTTTCATGTGCTTTCTAAACAAGTTGACAGTAACAACTAGTGCAGAAATAAAAAGATTAAAATTAATGGCAGCTGTATGATGATTCTCAAAGCAAGTTGATGTCATGGAAGCAACATTGACTTTTGAAACAATTGGAAAACTGTCTTTCTCCAGGTAGAAGAGTAACCCTTCTTTTACTGTGGAGTTGCTTAGCAAATGATATTCTAGTTACTATACTACAGCCAACAAGAGCTTAGTGGCACGAGAATGCTAATACCAATAAAGTCTAACATGTCACTGAGTTTTGCTGTATTTGTTTCCATAATCAAAAAAGTGAGCCTGCTCAGCTTTATGGAGCCAAGTTTCCTAGTAAATATTAACACCGAGCTTCTATTCCCACAGAGTAATTGATGGAGCATGCCTGGTTTACTTTTCAAATAGCATCAATAAGCTGACACATGTCAATTGATGTAACAATTGTACAATCTGAGAGAATATCTGATTTTATACAAGTCCAATACAATGTCACCTGAAGACTAAAGTTTGCTGATACAAATACAAAACCAGAGAACTACCAACCTGCCTAGTACCATGTAATAGTCCATTAACACAGCTGCCAAAGTGCAGCTGGTGTTTTTTTACTACTTGCTCTGCTCATGTGACCATAGTGTAATTATGAGAGTGGGAGGGAAATAGTCTAAATAGTCCTCTAAGCTTTTCCCAAATTCTAGTCAACATAATAACACAATCCTCAAGATGAGAAACAAAACGAGTCTTGGGTCTCATTTTCACTGGTAATTGTCTCAGCAGTGAGATCTGTGAAGCACATATTGTGAGGAACAGTTCCATAAGTTATAGCACTGTATCTTCTTATGAATGCCTCATAAGACATAGAAAAGTGCATCCTACTATACAGGATAATTTGCTACACTAATATTATTCAGATAGAGCTGAAGTGAATCATTAATCTGCATTGGGTTAGCTAGTGAAGCAGGAAATCTCATTGTGCCTGACTCCCACCTGCACTTCTATTTAAAAAATAAATTCTTCAGTTAGAAACCGTTCATGTAAGTCAGAATATCATCAGAGAAAAAATACAGTACCGCACAATTCTATAGAAGTATTTCCATTTCATTTTCTCAACAGAATAACGTAGTAGCTCTAATGGAGACTTCCATCAATAATCTGGTGTAAGCTGTGTATCTACTTATTTACCATAATTATATTATGTTGTTGATTATTATTCCAGTTCAGTGGTCAAGT